CAACAAGATGTACTATCTGGTTTTGTCTAAAACCTATTTTGAAGCCTTTTATGACTATTGAAAGTAGCCGATTTTGGGCTGTTTTGAGGTTTAAACCGTTCATAACTTTCGAAAAATGGCTATTCCGCAAAAACGGTTACCATATTCGGAATCAGCGTAAAATTCTGCACAAGATAGGCTTGGTCCCGTGCCAAAGTCCCGACGACACTCAAAAACGTCTCCTTGTAAGTGACGCTTTTTTATACAGTCTGTCCCATAAAACAGCACCCCGCCCGCCCTTCGCCATATTACATACGATCGGTTCCAAAATTGGACCGGAGGTGTATCATACCCTAAATAACCAGAATCCTGATGTACAGCCTCATAACTATCGTAGTTTTACAGATACAGCAAAAATAAACCTTATTATCCGTTTTTCATAAAGTTTTCGTCGGAATCGACCCTTCGAATATTAAGTGAACACCAGGGTTGAAAAGCCGCTTCGCGACTTTTCAACCCTGGCCCCGTCTTATCCCTTGATATACTACATTTGCATCATTCTCCCGAGTTCCGATGACTAAAAAATGAAAATCGCTCCCTCTGCCCTTTTTATAGGCTGCCGCCACTTCCGGGGGAGGCTAATTTTTCCCTAACAAAGAGGGGTGCCCGATATTTTAACAAAAACCGAATTTTAACGTCGAAAACAATTGATTTTTCAAAATCTGATATGTGTGCAGTCATCTCGAGACCATTACGCACCTAATGACGTATCAAACACGCCCCTAACTTCCTTCCTTATTGAGATAGGATTGGAACACGGTGACGGAAGTTGCATGCAAATGCACACACACACACACAAACACTATTTTTTTATATATAGTAGGATGAAGTGGCAAGCGTTCTTTACCCCTAGAAATTTTTTTCTGATAAAAAGTAATCAAATAACCGTTGATTTTAACAATTTTTGTCACCAGAATTCACCCACGAAATTAAGCGAAATTAGGATTGACAGTTCGTAGTCGATGCAAATCGATGGAAAGTCCAAAAAGGTAGCGGAAAAAATAGTATTCTGGCGATAACTCGAAAAGTACTGTAGTGATCGGGCTATAGGTAGATCGGGCTACGGGCCACTCAGGATTGTGGTAATTTAGGCTCTGATACACCCTTGTGCAAAGCATAGAACCTATCGGATGTAATACGGCGAAATGCCGGAGGGGTGCTTTTTTGGGGACACGCTGTACTTTCAAAGGGTTTTTTGTTGTTTTCATAACCTGTGACAACTATATGATGCAAACTCACTCAAACTCGACTCCATCCAGCAGATGCTCGCTTTGAATTCTTTGTAGCGCTAACGGGATGGCACCTCCAGATAGTGAAAAGCCGATCTGCGCCTGTTGCGTTTCTGTCACTGAACATTGTCCCATTATTTAACGAAATTTGGATATCACCAAGCAATCCAACAGTAAACCTGGATCTACGTTGTGGAGGCGTAGTGCTCGGCACTGAAGCCTAAAACCAGCTCACTTTAATTTTCTATAACTTTCAAATACCGTGCTCCCGGTAGCGTTTAGCAAGCTGGCAATGGTAGTGGTCGGAGTTTGCATAGAAATGGGACCAGTGGTATTTGTAACATTTTGACAATATATACTAGCAATCAATAGTAATAACGGGATCAAAAGATTCATTTTTCCGAAATGATCGGCGGGGCTTCGTGAAAATCTGCCTAAATGGAATCCCCCCTCCCCGAGCCAAAACATGAAGCCCTTGGGGGTCGAACTGGAAATTGCGTCATGTAGGGCATCGGGATTTGTCTAGTCTCATGGGCGTGCGGAAATTCGTGTAGTTATCAGATCCGATCGGCACGTCATTTTGGTTCCGGGTTGCTACGAATCACGCATGTCCTAACAAAGGAAGTGTTTTGAGCCCAGGTGGCAAATCGATATGTAACATACATCCGATAGAGAATTCAAAATAAAGATGAGGCTTTGTCACGTCTTTAATATTACGATTTGACTGAAGAAAGGTGGAACTTAACGAAAAACCTTTATCCGAAATTATTCTTCGAGTTTTGTTTCCCCGGGGTTCAATTTAGTGGTCTCCGTGGTCAGTACCTTTCTGGTTAAAAGCCATTTATCAAAAAAAGTGCGGCGACATATCTGAGGGTGCATCATTACGATCGAGGGTAATGCCCGAGTGAAGCGGGTAAAGCAACATATCGTGAAACCATTTACTGCGTCACGCGATGCTGATCATTCAATTGTGCCATCCGGTTAAGCAGCTGGAGTGGTGCCCGCCGTTTATCGATAACATGAAGTGCACGCTTCCAGTGCAGCGATTCCACAGTTCCTGGCATCTCAGCCGCCCGCGGATTTAACTTCTAAAAAGGCTTCTAATAATTTTTGCGTCTGAATTCAGTTTCGCGTCAAGTGTTGTGCAGAATTTTGCGTTGATTCTGAATCGATTTTAGAAACTGCTAATGCGCGGTTTTGAATAAATTAAAACCTCTACAAACGCTGAAAATGACACACATTGGATGCCTATAAATATGTCAGGAAAATACTATTTAGCAGCTCATTTAAAAAGTCTGATTTTTTCTGGGCATAGTCTGAGCGTGGTCTTGCCTGGACGCTTTCTTAATGTTTTTATAGCCCTTTCAAGGTGCGCCGTTTAGGGTGTTGGAAGCTAAAAATCCTTGTAACTTCCAAAAATGGCTAGTTATCACTTTCTGAAAACCGATTCAGAACCAGTGTAAAATTCAGCAAAAATTAAGCGCCGCGGACGTACCAAAATCCGTTTGGCCCATTGATAGATCGCAATCCTGTACGGTCGCGTCGCTATCAAAATTACGAGGTTATTCGCGATGGCGTGAAGCCCTGTCATAAGGAAAACCAGACCCATAGCTACGGCAAAGTAATAGTCAGCCAGATGCAAACTTGCCGCACACGAGCCAATCCCACTCTGCAATGCGCAGGTAAACACTAAGCACCACAAAAAATGTCCCGCCCAGGAAGAAAATCGCCATCGCAGACTAAAAACGGGGTCGATCCGGGCTGAAAATGAAAAAGACCTGCAGTAGAAAAATCAAGCAGAAATGACGATGCATTTGTCGAGTGCGTTTGCTAACGGATGGGTCCAGGTTGACCGTCCGATAATCGACAATGTTCATATAGCACACGTAGAGGTAGGCGCTTGTCAGGACGACGCAACCCACACCGAACGGCCCCGCCACAAGTCGCAATTGATCCCCGTATCGTAAGAAGAAGGCGCCTTCGATACCGCAAAAGTGCATTTCCAAACGACACACCTGAAATGACGATTTGTATACACATTTTCGAAAATCAGGTTTCTGAAAACCACTTTTCGAAAATCATTTCTCAGAAAATCATTTTTTAAAGCTGTTTTTCGGAAAGACAGAATTTTGAAAATTGGTAGTCCCTTTGGATTCGGATTTGGTTGGTGGTATGGAAATGTCGATATTTTTTTCAATAACCTATCAGAAAAAAATCCCGAAATCGGAACGTCAAAAATCAAAATCACGAATCTTCAGAATCTCGAACTTTCCAAATGTCTGCAATTATTACGGCAACTAATGTTTAGGCTACGGAAATTACGAAAATGTCAAAATGCAATTTTATAAGATCTCCAGATTTTGAAAATTGGATATTCCGATATTCGGGCTTGCGATTTTCGAGATTTTGACCGATTCTCATTTATTACTTTTTTTCAGCACTCACTTCAGCTGCATCCTTTACGATCAAGTCATACAGCAGCCAAGCTCCACACTGTAGCACCGTCATAACGGTCACGTACATGACCACCAGGCCACGCCTCGCTGCGATGTGCAATTTACGGTGCTTTTGCGATGCCTGCGCAGTTTTCAACACACCGTTGTAGATCACGGCGAAAATCGCGTGGGCGAGAAATGTTAAGTACATAAACTACAAAATCTTTGAAAAGGGCGTTCGCCAAAGTCCCCTACCAACCCTAGATGAGTCTGGAAATTCGTATAAGAAAAGGGGAACTCGAAAACTCAAAAATTTTCCGCCATAATACGGGGCCAGGAGAATCGGCTTCATCGCGCAGATGGTGGTCTCGGTCAGCTCGCTAGCGATCTGAAAACCAGGAACAATTTCGAAGATAGATCGACGTAAGACGATAGAACGTACAAATAATAGGCCTAAAAAACATTTTCAACCCCAACATCTTAATATTAGTTTTTGCTGAACGCTCCTCTCTAAAAAGTTATTAGATTTTTCCAAGGTTCCTGGAACCTATTTACTGAAAATCGAACTTTTTGGTTCGTGATTTTAAATCAGTAATAGCTTATCCGATAGAAAATTCCTTTCTGATTCGAATCGAATATTGCATTAATGCCGGTCGCCTCTTTAGACCTCGACCTTCCAGGAGCCTGGACTAGCATGAAAATGACCAAGTTAATATAGAAAAAACCGTCAAATTTTCGAAATTTCCAAATTTCCAAAAATTTTGGGTTAGATAGCTGATTGGCTATCACAAACTCTAAAAACAATGGCAAGGTTTGTTTTTGCGAAATCGACTCCGAAGGTCAAAGTCTTGGACTTCAAAGATACCAATTTTGGCAAAAAAAGTCACTTTAAAACCCCAATAACTTTTTAGAGAGGGGCGTTCAGCAAAATCTAGATTTAACCCACAGATTTATTTTTAATTCTCTACCGCTTCATGTATGTTACATAACGATTTGCCACCTGGGTCAAAAGCACTTCCCTTCTAAGAGCTTTTACAGCCCAATTCAAAACTATTTTTTGCAATGAAACAACGAGCACTCCATCTAGCTCTAGCCCGACGTATACAATCCTTACCACCACATTCAATTGGACAATTTTATACTCCTTGGTGAGATGCGCCTTTCCACTGCTGAGCAAATACAGGGTGAGCACGAAGAACGGCACACCAATGGCCCAGGAGAAATAAAACGCAGCGACGATCCAGAATTCCTGCTCGGGGGAGGGGTAAAACATATGGGCGCCAAATACGGGAGGTTACGGTTGGCACTCTTGCAGGAAAGCTAGATAGATGGTGAGCAGGTTGCATTGTAGTGTGTCATGGCACACCAGGTGACGCTGCAACGTGGCGGAATCGTGAGATCGACAAATTCCCAAATTACGCCTCACTTATTAATTATTCGAGCTTAAAAATGTTTTTTCCTTCAAGCTTAAAAAATGTTTATCAAAAAGCTCTGGGTCTTCACTGGAAAATAGATCAAATTACTGGTCACGGTAAAGGTAGCATCTCAAGGAAATGTATTTCATTAATAAATATTGTCATAATGCGGGGGCTCAGACAATGGCGAATTATTCCTGACGTTCAGGGTCCTGGTCGTAGTCGTCGGTTCAGGTCTCGGGGGCGCTGCTTGTGGAGTCGGAGCTCGGCCCCCACTCCTACCCTCAAGCCAGAAGGTTTCCATCACACCTTTTCCCTGAAAATATAGAAATTTATAGAGCTTTGGATGCATCAACTTAAGAGATCTCTAACATGCTACTTACCTTGATCATCACCTCTCCCCTCGACTCAATTTGGTAGCCTCCCAATCGACTCAAGAGAGCGGCTGCATCGGCTGACATGTGGATTTTGCCGGCTGAGAATAGGTTTATTATGTATTGAAAAAGTCGGTAACATACGTTTCCCATTACTTTCCATCCGCGAAGCTGTGTTTACGGTATCTCCAAAGAGACAGTACCTGAAAAAAAATGAAAAATATTAATGACGACTAGCATCTAATTAAATTTCATTCGTTTATAAACTTCTCGAACTATATCCTTTGCAACGGCATACAGTAAATGAATCACTATTACAAATTACCTGGGCATCGCCAATCCGACCACCCCGGCCACGCAAGACCCGGAATGCATCCCGATGCGCAGGTTTATAGTCTGTGTCGGCAAGTGTGGTACGCGGAACATCTAAAAGCACACTGTACCTAGTACCTCGTAGGTAGGCGTGTAATATACCTGGACTTCACGGAAGAATCCCAACGACATCTCGGCAATGTCTTTGACGTGCTGATTCCCATTACGCTTGGGTAGGCCAGAAACGCAGAGGTATCCATCACCAATAGTTTCGACCTGGAATTAGGATAATTACGGTTATGTGGCCTTTTCAAAAGACTGGAAAGTGAAAATATATACCTTGTAAACATGGTGTTGTTCGATTACGGTATCGAATGTCGTATAGAGATCGTTAAGGAGTGTCACGATCTGGAAAAGTTTTTATATATTGATTATTCTCTCTCGCTCTCTTTCTCTCTCTCTCTCTCTCTCTCTCTCTCTCTCTCTCTCTGTTTTTCGCTCTCTCACTCTGCTACCTGTAGCGGGGTACATTTTGCCGCTAAATTCGTAAACTGCACGACGTCGGAAAAGAAGATCGTCACCGAATCGAACGATTCCGGCTCGACGGATTGGCCGAGTTTCAAGCGATCTGCTACTTGCCTGCAATGTGATGCTTGATTGAAATTGTTCTTTAAATCAGCAGATTTCGTCAAGAAATCACCAGTCGTTCTCACCTTGGCAGCATTCGATAAAGCAAGATGTCACTTTTCTTTTTCTCCTCCACGAGCTCAGCCATGCGAGTTTCGACCTCTTTCTCGAGGGTTTCGGCATAGCTCTCCATAATATTGAAGACGTGGTCCATCAGATTTTGCTGGCCGCTGCTTGTCGACTAAAGAAAAAACCAACGTATCTCAAAACTGATGATTACCATCGATTTCATGACGTTTTTCACGATTCCAAGATCCGGTCGTTTCATCGGACTCTCATCCCAGCAGTCGCGAATTAGGTGGATCTAAAAATTCAATATGAGTTCGACCACTTTCATATTCAGTATACCATAGCCGGGTTGAGTTCCATTTCTTCGTGGACAGTCAGGTCAGGGCGGGCCGGTAGATGGGAGCCGCGCTTAATCATGTAGAGAAGCTCTGAAATCGGCGAATGAACGTCTTTTCAGTATTTTCAGAAAACGGCATTTTTACGATTTTGCTTGAAAACCGCATCAAATACTGAGATCCACCTTCCAGCTTCTCATCCCGATTCTCCAAATCGAAAACACTCTTCCGGGTCACAATTTCTGAGCAAATAATGGCAAACGAGTAGATGTCCGTCTCCTTCGTCGGTTCCGCCAATTCATTTCGAAGCAGCTCCGGGGCCCACCAAAGTTGTTCTAAATCACGACCTAGCTGCCGTAACTGTCACTTACTCCGCTTCTCCGGCGGCTCGCCCTGTCGAAGCGTCTTGCAGCCAAATCCAGATACTTTCAGCTGCCATCGTTCGTCAATCCAACACGTTGTAGAGCTAGAAAATAAGGTTTTTGAAGGTTTTTTTAGAAGCTCTGACTACCTTAAATTCCCATGAACACCCAAGAACGACCGGTGCACGAAGTGGAGCCCCTCGACCAAATCTTTGATCAGCGCCATGGCAAAGAAGGCATCCAGCGTCAGGGTACCTTTCTGGATTACTTCCTAAAAAACGCCTGGGTTGGACTCTAACAGACGGCGCCTGTCGTACGCAACTTTTGGAAGCTTATTCTATCCACAAAGGTAGTTAAAGAATTACCTCCAGTGTTCCCCTGCTTGCAAATCTCCACACCGACATCATCGGAATATGGTCGTGTACGATCCCGATAAATCGATGCACGTTATCATGCTCCATTTTGCGCAACTGGAACTCAACCAGTAACTCCATTTTTTCGTGCTTTCACCTGACGAAATTCTGCGTGATCAAGTGCGGAAAGCCTCGGAGACGTTCTGTACTTGTAGGCCATGATCGGCTCGCCTGCTCTTTAGGTACAAATAAAGGTATCGTGTTTTACCTCCTAGCATGAAATAGGCCGTATCATTGGTATCCGATTTTCCACTGGCTTTTGAGAATTTTGAGTTTGACGACTTTCCAGAGCGTAGTGAGTATTGGCTTTTCTCTTCTGACTGAAATATACCTTTCGAAACGAAATCAAATAGAATGTACTACAGGCTTTAAACGCCGCATTGATAACAATTTTTACCCCCTTTCCACCGGCTCGTTCGAGGGTGCGGAACGGAATCTGCCATTCCGCATCACGGCGTGCCAGTTCTCGACGTTTTTCTCTAAATTTTCAGAGAAATAACCACAACATTTTGGGATACCTGGCGATATAAAGCGATAAAAATCCGAGCGCGATGCACAATATTATAAAAACGCCGACACCGATGACGATGTAGAGGCCGCTTTTCTCCCAGGTGCTCAACGGGCAATCGTCGCCTTTGTAGCTAAAAAGTTTCGCTTTCTTTTATGCATTTTTGTGAAACATAGCTAATCGTATTAAATTATGACCTTTCGATATCTGAATTCTGAATAGCAGTTTTATCAATTTTTACCCGCATATCGGCGTCGTCAGTGGTCGGACACCTCCCCGAGCAGCCCATAGTGTCGTAGCGTCATCAACGTAATTTACCCCGGCTACCTAATTTTTGGCCATAATATCGAAGGGGTGCCTAAAATCGTACCATATAATCCCCATCGCCTCGCCAAGTAAAGTTGATAAATCGAGTGGAAGCGCCGGAGGCTGAGAGACCGTAGAGATACAGTCTCGGAATCCGAGTGGCGTTTGGAGTCATTGCGATGGCGCCGGACCAGCCTAACAAAATTGAGGTATGGAGAATTATCGTATACATAAATATAACGAAATCAAAACCTAAGTTTCCGAAACCAAAAGAAATTTTCACGCACCCGTAAACGCCACAGTAGTCCGGACTTGGTTGAAAAGTGTTCGATTCCGCAGTCCGTTGACGGGGTCAACTTTTAGGGTGGCATTAAGGCAATAGGCGTAGTAGATGAAAGCGTCGTAGAGTTGCGGAGCGAAAGAGCCGATCTAAATCAGGATAATTTAAACGGATGTGTTTTGTTGAGCCCACCCCACTGTAATTCTGACTGTTGTAGATGCACTCCGTCGTGTTACAGTAGAAAGGAGGGCCGCGGACATTTTCGAAAACCTAGAAAAAATCGGGTTTAATGCATCAAGCTAAATCAGAAAAAATTATTTAAAAAATACCTCTGGCGTTACTTCCGTGGTGGTCCTACCGCCTGCCGTTCCCTGATTTGTCAGATCAATCTGAAAACGTGGTAATTTCAGATTTGAACCTTCTAAAAAATCAGTTTTTAGTAGACTAACAAACGAAAGTGATGATAAGATGCTATTTGCTCAAAATACCTACCACAACCATATTTATCGCCGCCTTTTGTGCCACAGCATCCAGCCCATCGGCCGGCGTGTTGAACACGTCCACCCAGATCGGCGAGTATTGGCCATCTGCTGAAGGATAGGTTTATCTTCACCCATCGGCTATATTTAACGCTAACAAGCCCCAATCATCCACAATTTTTACAATAATCTCCCACTAGCTAGTCGCCAGTCGGTTTCTACGCCTCTGAAGTTACTTACCAACTTGAGCTCCCGCCACCGTACCGCGCTGCCCGAAACCGTACCCACGCAAATCCATGAGAATCCAGACGTAGTCAGAACTTAAGTACCGGGCGTTTACTTAAAAGTTATGTATTACATACGTGTTCATGCCGGCCTGTGCGGTTGAGATCAGGAAATCGCGCTTTGTCTGGTCGCTGGGCATGCAGACGGCGATTACTGTAATAAATATTTTCTTCAATCGCCCTCTCAATTTAACAACTGGCTAGTATTTTGGGGTAAAAGGTATATCTCTATGGCTTGCTATTCGGCTTTCGGACGTGTCTTTTCGCAATACCGTTTGCTACCTAACTACACCACTGCCGATTTCACCATACCACTTGCATATCTCTGGCTTCCGGAACCATTGAGTCTATTTTTAAGCTAGTCATGTGAACTGCAGGGATTCCGTTTTTGTGGCTTCTAGTAGCTTCGTTGGTGCCAAAATTTTGAACCCGGATTTTGGAGAGAAAACCAAGAGAAAATGATGTTGGGAAACCACTGTCGCTCACTTAAATAGGTAATATTGGCACTATAAAGGAACAGAAAAGTTTGCGTACTCCTTGCTCGTGACTTGATGCGCTGTAGGCCGGTAACGAGGGCGGAACGGGATGTGGTAGATGAGGTTGAGGAGAGCTCCACCCGGACCGTGACTGCAATTTCGATGGCGCTCACGGTGCCGTCGTTTAGGGTTGCCTAAATGGGTCTTAGAAATATTTGTCGAATGAAGTAAGTCCGTTTATCAAAATTACAATAACCTACAGTAACGTCCGCAATCATATTATCACAAACGCCACTGCCAACATTTCCGTACAGAACCGCAATGTTGTCCCTAAAGTTGTTCTACCTTTTTACGGTGAAATTTTTTTTGGGCTTTTATCGTTTGTTTTTGTTTGCTAAAAGCCGATTATGAAATGATTTAGGAACGTCTGAAATTACGATCATACCCAGACGGGAAACTTACCACTCGAATTGATTCAACATTGCGACCAATGAGTAGCCAAGTCTAGAAAGTCGGCTTGATCCCATTAATGCGCCCTTACTGTTTGTAGTTTGGAGCAATCGTGGTGATAGAGGGGAAGCGGCTAGCATCGGTTAGGGTCGACGACGAAGCAAATCCCCAAGCAACCTAAAGCAACGTTTCAAGCCACTCCCGATTTTTGAAGCCGCTACAGCGTTGAAGCCAATAAGTTTTTGAGCCTTGTATACCTGCAGCGTCCCGTAGAACGAGGTCAAGAACCCGACGGGAACAATTGCTAAAAAACACTGCTGATCTTGCGAAATAATTTTTAAAGTACCATTAGCGCATGGTGGGCCCAAGATGACATCTACGTCCTGCTTCTGGAGCAAGTCTACAGCCACTCCGGCCGCGTTCGCCTCCGTGCAGTCGGTGTAGTTGACGATGAACCTAAAAGCAGAAGCTTGTTATAGACGATTAAGTGATACGCAACTATTTCTGAACGATTATCTAAGTATCATTAACCCACTCGAAATCGACGTCATTGATGAGTTCGAGGTCCCGGATGCGCTGCAACGCCAACGGGATCACGCCGGCCGTGATGCTGAAGCCGATTAGGCCCCTTTGAGTCTCGGTTACTAAAAAACTTGGATGAGAAATCGTGAGGTATCACAACCAATCATGCCGACGGTGAAGGTGGTTCGCGGAGCCGTGCTGGGCGTTGTCGGTATGCTCGAAGTCTGAACGACATAAACATGACTATCGGGGCAAGCTAGCAGAGCTCATTTGCGGGTTCAAGATACAAAAATCAACGATTTAATGGACTTCAGGCGCTTTAGATACGGCATACAGATTTAATGCGTATTTTCTACACATTTTAGCCTTACCGAAACTAGCAACTAGAACACTTTAAAGCTTTTTCTAACACCATAAATGTAAATTTTGATCCAACTTACCGTCGAATTCTGCCCCCACGTTCCATCAATCAATAAAAGCAATATTATCAACAGCATATTTCTGCCAATTTGAAGTGAAAGCTGTGAAGAAAGTGCGCGTGGGGTTGTACCTCCTCCTCCCACCGCGGGTTTCCAACAAAAATACCGAAGCCGCACAAGATTAAATTCCTGGGTGTCAAGTCACAGGGTTGTGAACCCGGGACCAACATTTGAATAGGAAGGAGGAATTTTTAGCGAGTTTAAGGCTTCGACTACGCCAATCCTATGCACGTTTTCGGGAAGGAAACCTGGCCAAAATCCTGATTGTGATGTCCGGGACCTAAAATGCACCCGAAATGGGCAAAAATGAGGGCGAGGTTTGATGTCGGGATCAGAGAACGAATTTGGAAAGGGTATAAAATTAGTACAATAACTATTTTTGTTGTCGTTTGTCGCTTTGTGAGGCAATGTCATATTTTTTCCCGCCAAAACAACGCAAAATTTTACACTTTATCATAAGGAAACGCACAAGTAAAAAGTATCAAAGATGTATAGTATGAATAAATTGCAATTACAAATCACAGTTATCTAAATTCTGAAATTTCCACCAGAAAAAGAACAGTTTTTCGAAATAGTGGCATTCAATCCGCTGCCATGTCTTCTTCCGTAGCTCGCTGCATCTCCTCGAGTTTTGTGAACTAAAACTAGCCTATTTTTTGCTCGACGATAAAATTAAATTAAAAAACAATCGCATTATCGGTAATCCCGATAACTCCCGTATACAATACATACCTCGGCCTTGCTCAAATACTTCTTCAACTTCTCCAAGTCGACAGCATCGGCAAGCTGGGCATCGAATTTGTCTTTTAAGCTTAAAACCGGTGTCTGATGCGTAAAATTTAGCACTTTTGGGCCTGTTGATATTTATTGGCTTGTAGTGCATCGAGCCGCTCCACTAATAGCTCGCGGAGTGGGGCTTCTTTGGCATAAAGACGCTCAAGTTGTTGCTGAAGGCCGTCAACGACTCCGTATCTAGAAATTTGAGCTCTCGGTTGTAATAGTACAATTTTGCAGCTAATCAAAAAGGGATAATTCCGGCAAAATCTCTGCCAGTTTGCCCGGGCTAATCTGGCAATTTGGACTTACTGTTCTTTATACAAATATTCTTCTTTTCGGCCTTCCAAAATCCGAATCGTGTTGTTATAGACATTCATAGAGCGTCGGAAATAGTATTTCTTTTTGTCGGAGAGCTATGACAAGGTGTATGATTCTTCAACCGCCTTCAATTCTTCTATACCTTTCCGGATCCGCCAAATTCCACTCCGGCGATTTCGCGCAAGATGCGGTCTCGAGATCTAGCATTTCATCAAATTTTTAGCCGAATAAAGTGTAAAACTATAAACTTAAATTCGTGTGCTTAAAACAGCATTGTCTTTTTGTATAGAACTTTTTATTACACGGCAAATACACAGGGGGAAATACAAAATTGCAAAATAAACTGAAGAAAGTGTTTTGGGGGGACCCGATCACAACTGAATATATTGGTGTAGGAGGGAGGGAAACAGTGGGAAAGTGTACTTTCAAGGTATCGAAAAATCAAAAACCACGAAATTCCACGTTTAAAGGGCAATCTACTACCTCGGAGATAGTGGGCCATCTTCCGGAAGTGATTGACGACCACTATCGGCCGATTTTTCGCTTTTCGCATCAGGATCGGTCGTCTAAAAGGTATAGTTTTTAGTAAATACGTAATGTTAGAGTGATTACTACTTTCGCAAGGCATCTAGCAAGGTTTTGGCTTTCTATTATTAATTCTCACCTTAATTTTCAAATCCTTCTCATCCTTATCCATCGGCATCGGCCTCCGAATCTGTACGCTATCCGGGCGCTCTCCCGTTTTCGAGGAATTTCTGGAATTTCTTGACGGGCTTCTCGTAGGCGCCCTGGATCCGGTGGAATTAGGGCGGTCGGAAGTTGAGGGGGTGTCTAAAAATGGCAAAAACAATTTTAGATACCTTTAGCCTCAAGTTTCATTGATAATCCTTGGTTTTTATCACCTACCTGATGGGTCTTTCAGCTTGCTGTTCAACCGCTTGACCATGCTTTTCGTGAAGATTACCTGAAAATATGATGCAAGCTTATTAATTTACAACCTTTATGCATTTTTCACAATTTCTGATGCCTTTTACGCATAAAAAAAATTAGAAAAGGATTGATTGCCCGTGAAAATTTTCACAAACGTCTAGAAAAGCACCAAATGGGCCGAGTCGCTCTGAAAATTTTCGTGCTCAAAAATCCGCATCTGGTCCTCAGTATGTTAGTGGGGTATAAAAATGAAATCCATAGAAAGTGTCTCTACCGCGGTGGCCGGGTGGTAAAGGCGTCCGAATCTAGGATCGGATTCACCGAAAGTGAGCGGGGGTTCGAATCCCTCCCGTGGTAGCATTTTTTGGGGGTTTTTCGGGGGGGGGTTAATGGATGTGATTTTCCTCATAATTATAAGGTTTGTTTAAAATGTCCTTGATGATTATTAAATTTTAGCTGATTTTAGATATTTCAATCCATACTTATTTAGCATTTTTCTATTCAAAATTCCCATTTTTCTTCATTAACGCGCGTTTTACGTTCCTTATGTGTTTGTTATTTCGCCAAAATTTCTAGTTTTTTTAACTTGGTTATATATTTTTCATGATCACTTATCTCTTTAAGTTTTTCATGTTTTGCAAATTTGACGGTTTATTATCCCAGCCTTTCAAGAGTTTTGACCAATTAGCTTAAAAGTTGATAGCTTTCGAGATATATTTTTAACTTTTCGTTATTCCGGCCTGTTTATTAAATTCTATCTTATCAGGCATGAAAACTATCATTTCCGATTTCGTATAGTATTTACCTCCTCATCCTCCGAGTCCGAGTTGAACAAATGCTGCAAGTTTGCCTTGGCGATTGGCGGGGGTTGTGGCTGGGGGGACGGGCGCTGAAAAAAATTGTTTTTTGATGACCTACGAACTAAAAATCTCACCTGCTTGCTCGAAAATATTGAGAATTTCATCATTTGTTCACTCGATTGCACCTGGCTGGCTTTCACCTCGCCTGAGATAAAGATCAAGCATGAGGCGGGCAGAGAGAACCACGAAAGTATGGAAAGTGAAGAAACGAGCGAAAGCATGTAAAAATTGCAATTTTTTAAGCTGGACAATACTTTAATAAAAGTTCTTTAATGAAACGTACTAATTCTTAATCCAAGATATTACTAAGAGAAGTCAATTCCCTTTAAATTTCGGTATGTATCTTTGGCTAAAGCTGGAGCCTCTGCATAACCTGGATGTAAAGAGAAGCGCGAGAAGAGAAGATTCCGATAGTCAAAATCCCGACAACCAGAATCCCAACAGGCCAAAATCCCGACAGCCAGAACACCTAGATCAAAAATAGCTGCCTAAACCGAAGCGGCATATTTAAACTGGCGTCAGGAACATGTCGGAATTTCGGGAATTGCCCTTTCGCGATTTTCGTCATCGGAATTTCGGTTGTCGAGGTTTTCGATTGTCGGCATTCAAAACAGCGGCAAAAATATGTAGTATTTTTACTGTCGGGATTATCGCTGTCGGCTTCAGCGGGAATTCAACAAGCGGGAGGTTCGGCATGTTCGCGAAAATGAGCCAGAATAGCATTCAAAGTAAAAATAGAGATTACCAGTTGAAAATTCATGCCGAAAATAAGTACAGACTTTTTAGACCGAAAATATTTTGGTTTAATTGTAAACTAGCGCTGGCCCTTCCCCTCCACAATTTGGATTTGGAATTTGATGCGGGTTTTGCTGAATTCGTGTGCCGGCGGCCGGGGCCGCGGCGGACATTAGAAATTTATATATAGAAGCTTGTCCAAAATGGAGCAAAATACTTCAAAATTCACTCGCTATTTCGGGATCACTCGCGTGAAAATGCGTAAATATCCGGATTAACACGATACTTAGCATCCGGATGACCCGCCACATCGACCCCAACGATAATAACGGATTTACGTCCCAATTTTGGTGGGAGACTAGAATGGGGGTGGGTCGAGTTGCCATGGCAGCTCGAATAACCGGAAAATATGAGGGCGAGCTGCTGTGCGGGTGGCATTCAAACGGAAAAATTGGCCGTTTCAACCCGCGCCCTTTTATGCTGTTTTTGAGGCGGGAGTGGGGGGGGGCTTGGGGGTGGTGTCGGTGGGTTGAAATTACTGAAATGACGCACGCGTTTTGATTGGTAGCACGAATCGTTAAAGGGGCCAGGAAGGCAAAAATTACGTGGGCGATAATCGAATCTACTGTTCGAACAACGTGAGGGTTCAGAAAGTACTGCCGAAAAGCACCAAGAAGTTGTTTTCGCTACGGAAAAAAAGGAAAAAACGGAACGTGTTTTTAAAAAATAAAAAATGTTAAAAGTGTGTTTTTGACCGCGCGAGGATTACATGTCTTAATACTCAGTAAACCCTTAATTGATTAATCTTGGTAATCCATTAGCCTATCTTGATTATTATAACAATTGTGATGATTAAAGTTATATAATGAATTATTTAAGTTAATAACAAAAAAATATTGATCGTTTGACGATTTTTGGTTTTAGAAACCAAGCTTTTCGGCCGCCAAATAAGGCTAGGCTTCTTAAAGTGCTGGTTTCTTTAATAAGCTTTAAATATAAACAGAATACGAGGTGTTTAACATGATGTAAACCCGAATTCTGAAGCGACTGTATTGATGTGCCGGGGTCAAAACTGTGAGCCCGGGCCTGGCATTGGCCATCTTGTTGACACAGCGGCCGCGGCCAACCCGGAGGAACCCACGCACAGAACACAAATGCAGCAAAATTTACAGAGAAGCAGGTGGGCGAGAGAGAGAGAGCCGAGAGAGAGATAGAGACCGAGAGAGAGAGAGGGAGAGAGAGAGAGAGAACCAGCGCAACTAAAAAAACCACAAACTCCCGTCAATTGACATACCTATTTTCTCACTTTCTTCGAAGGTCCAGAGCACTTCCAAGCCAATATCCAGCCAAGAAGCCTTTTCAAGGGACGGTGACACCCCTAATTCCTATTTACCGCAATGCTACGCCAGGAAATTTCTGAACCAGCCGCTTCCCCAAACAAAAATTTGGTTTCCCACGTTTCCACGGGAATTATTTAGCATCCAGCCCCGCGCGGCTTGTTCCAAACCCCCACGAAATAAAATAAAAATGAAGACCTGAAAGCGAAAATAATAAGCCTCGGTTGCCCTCGTTGAAGGGAACGCCTGAACTAGGAAAAAAATTGGTTCTTTGGCAAAGGCCCGAGGTAATTATTCACCTCAACCCCTTCTTGGGCGGGACCCAGAAAATACCCCCCGCCGGCGCCGGGAGGTAATTCTGCTGGGGTTGATCGGGTAATTGGAAAGGTTGGACGGTGTTTTTTGGAGTGTAATCGTTAAATTCGAGCCGAAAAAATTGAATTATTAAAGTATCCATAGATTCCAAATTTACGCTATGGATTTTCTATGATTTTTAGCCGCCTCGCGACAGTCAACGCCTGTAGTGGCCATGGCATAGCGAATTTCGACTTCTTCTTTGTCGTCGAGGGGAGTTGCTCGTGTTAAGCGATGCTGCTTAGGCTTAGGCTTAGGCTACGGCTTAGGCTTCCGCTTAGTCTTAGATCAGAGTTAAGCTTGGCGGTAGACGACCCTAAGGAAGCCGGAATGTACAACTCAGTCTCGTGTAAGGTGTCGGAAACCTCTCGAAACAACCAAGACAAGCCGTACATGGCAATAAAAAGTACTTGGAAAGGCCATAGTTGTCCCCGGCGACGTGTGCTTGTTTGCAGCCCCGAAAGGAGGAGGAGGCCGGGCTTTGTCCCGCGATGAAATATTATTCCCCGAGTGTCCCACTTTGGCCAATAGAGCCGTTGTGTGTCCCCAAGCGAGATATTTGATATTTTGAGGGTTAGGCGAGCTCGAGGCGCCACAAAAAAATGGTAGCAGAGAAGCCAGAAGCGTCTTTTGAATAGAAAATCGGATGTGAGCTACTTGTTATGAGCAATCGACTCGTTGTGAGCAAGAAAATGTTTAGAAGAAGCACTGGCACCCCACCCAATTTGATAATCCCGGCGGCTTATTCACCCGTCTCGGATGAGCAATGCGGTCGCGTTGAGCAAAATTCATGAAAATCGGCTTACCCGCTTGGTCGGCGCGGGAAGCGGAACCGGGAGTGGTGATCGGCGGATTGGTGAATTGTTACGGGAGCTCTAAATTTATCATTTTAACAGCAACTTTTGGTCAAAAATGGCTATCTTTCTGACTTCCAAGTACCTTTAAAAACGTTAATTGAAAAGGGAAAAATAGTCTAATAAAAAACGAGCAACAAAAAGGTTGAGACCCCTGCTAAATTAATCCTTGAAACAAATTAAATAACAAAGAATGGCACAATCTACCGTATTAAGCTTGATGCCGTGTTTATTCGGGTCAAATGGGCTGACCAAACTTCGACTAGGAGTCCGAGCTGGGCTATAGCTAAACGAAAACCTTCTTCAAATTAAAAAATTCGATTTACCGTCCCTCATCCAACACCGGATTCTTAACCGAGGTTATGCTCCGACTTAGCAGATCGTCCGAGTGAGCTCCTTGCGAGTAGGACATACTGAAATCGAGAAAAGTCTATATGAAAGCCAGAATTACTGTTCGATGTATTCCATCGTACGCTACGATTCGTGGCTCATAATATGTATCAGAAGTTAGATAGACCAGGATTTTTTGGGTAGATACCAACCTGGAGCCGCCCAACGCCGCGCCTGGTGCTCGGATCACTATGGCGGCGACGCATATCTGAAGGGGATGATCATTGGTTGTTCAGAGAACCAAGGGCGGGTTATTGATTGAGAACAGGCACGCTCTATAAGTGAATTCTAGACAACGAAAATTCTAAGAAAGCCTCGTTCAAAAAGCGGGACTTTTGACAAAAAAAAACGCGCGAAAATATCTGATTTTAAGTGCTGTGTGACCAGAGCTACGTTACAATCCAATTTGCATGAAAAAGTAGCTAGAATTATCCTGGCAAACATTAAGACAGCTAAAAAATGAGAAATGAGCATAGTTTGAGATTGCCATTGCAGTAGTTAATTTAGACTACGTTATGATCCTTTTCTCGTGGAAAGGTTGCTGTAAAGGTCGATCTAACTACTACACTAAAGAGCTGCCAATGGATAGTTATAGCGCATATTTACCTGGGGGGGGGGGGAGAGTTGCATGAACTTTACCTGACGATCTTCGTTCTCCGCATTATGGTAATAGCCATGTACTGTAAAGCTATAAAATAAATGGAAATTGTCTTGGTTCGTGCGTCAAAAATTACCGTATATATTCCGCGGAATCACTGCAGTACAAACTCTGCCGTTCGTTCACCGAGCCGTGCTCGACGAAGTGAAACGTACCCTGTTGATTTTCGTAAGGGATTCTCAGAACATTTTACCCGAATATTATAACTAGCATCATTTGCTCGACCGGCACCACTTTTTGAAATACCAAATGAGACAGTCATTGTGCTTGCTAACAAAGTGTAATATTTTTAACCGAGTTTACGAATCAATTTTGGATGTACCACCACATCAACTCGGCCGACAGTTTGTGCAGATTTCAATTTTATCGTCAACGATTGAGGGTAGTTACGTTTTCTAAAGATAGCTTGAAGCTGATAAAACTTCCAAAGCTATCGACTGACCTTTCTGTAACCCAGCAAACCTTATTTCCCGTTATTTGGAACTCTGGTAACGTTGAAATATGCTTCTGGAGCTCGTGGTCTTCAGAAGAACATGCGATAACTTTGTAATCGATAATATGACCCGACATAGCGAAGATTCAAAAATGAGGAACTTCAAGAGGCCTCAAACTGTGCGATTCTTTTTCTCCGGGCCCGTTGTCAAGCACATAATTCTTTCAGGGGTAGGCGGGCAAAAAAAGCGCTGGTCTTCATTGTCGCTTAAGCAGACTGCAGCAACTTGAAAGAAATGAGAAGTTGCTTAGGCTTCGCTAAGCCTAAGCCTAAGCCTAAGCCTAAGCCTAACCTAACGGGGCTGGTCCTAAGCCTAAGCCTAAGCCTAAGCCTAAGCCTAATCTAAGCCTAACCTAAGCCTAAGCCTAAGCCTAAGCCTAAGCCTAACCCAACGGGGCTGGTCCTAAGCCTACGCCTAACCTAAGCTTAACCTAAGCCTAAGCCTAAGCCTAAGCCTAAGCCTAAGCCTAAGCCTAAGTCTAAGCCTAAGCCTAAGCCAAGCCTAAGCCTAAGCCTAAGCCTAAGCCTAAGCCAAGCCTAAGCCTAAGCCTAAGCCTAAGCCTAAGCCTAAGCCTAAGCCTAAGCCAAGCCTAAGCCGAAGCCTAAGCCTAAGCCAAGCCTAAGCCTAAGCCTAAGCCAAGCCTAAGCCCTAACTATACACGGGACAACAGTGCCGCGGCATGTCCGCGCGGCTCGTGGGCTCGCCGTGCACGGGCCGCGACTCCGCCGCGTGCGCGCCGTGTTCGCGGACCCGCCGCGCCAATGCCGCGCGCGGATTGACCGGGCAGCCGGCTCCCTCCCGTGCGCGGTCAATGCGCGCGCGCGCCGCGTTTTCGCCGTGACGTCGATAGGTGTTGGAAGTACCGCACGGAGAATTTCGCGATTTCATGGCGAAATCCACAAGTTTAAAAAAACTCCATAGTTCAGAGAAAAATAATTATTACCTCGCCGTTTAATAAACTTTTATCAAAATCTGTTAAGGCCTGCGATTACTAACTACTTTCATAGCTTCATCCCGTTCGTCATTTGCCTGAGAACCTCGTTCCTCTTTTGTATCCTCACTTCGTTTCGAATTGTTTCATTGTTATCCTACTATATATAAAAAAATAGTGTCTGTGTGTGTGTCTGTGTGTGTGTGCCACTTTGCATCCACTTCCGGATGTCTGTCCGGAGGATACGGGAGCCCCCGGACACAACGCGCGAACTCCGGGATTCCTATGGCGCGCCCCAATGACAGTACCCCCGCCCCCCGGGACCATCCCCTTTTCCCTCGCGTAATGGCCCGTTTAGTTGGTAAAACATAAAAAGGAGTCGTTTTACAAAGAAAACAATAGAAAAGTGAAGTGGAATACATTTTTGCAATTAGTATATAGCACCCGGTACACCTGGTACACAGGTTGGGCGGTAAATTTCTATTTAAACATTATTTATTAGTAGTTATTCAAAATTAAAGTAAGTTTTACTATAATATTTCGTAAATAGACATTTACCGTGCCAGAGAGTACTTTTTAGAAGAATATCTGCATTTTTGGGGGCAGAACTAACGGGGAATAGCGACACCACAGCCACGGCTTAGCTTTCAGCACGAGCTTGGCTTCTTCTCAGCCCTATATCCAAGCATAACTCAGCTTAGCTTCGCTAGAAGCTTGTGGCATTATTACTAGGCTTAACGCAACTTTTGCTTGGTTCTGAACGAAGGTAAATCAAGGCTTAGACTTCGCTTGTATGGGCTTACGTTTAAAGCTTCCAGGTTAAGGATGAAGTATTACGCTGACGGAGATCCCTGCGGTTCTGACGTCCTACCTAATTCCGCTCATCTGTTTCCGGCTTTTCCATTCCGCTTCATGAGCACAGTAGAGCAGCAGCATTGCTAGTAGCAAAGAAACTTTCAGCGCATCATGCAAAGCGAACCGGCTTTCCAAATGGCTAGTATAGTTTTGTAAATTAACGTTGTAATAATGGCTTCACCGGATTTGTCTGAATTATCACGATATGGACGCCTTTTCCGACCCGAGGAGACTAGTTTTTAACTGCAAGAAGGCTACTTATACAAGGTAAGCTAGCCATTCTTCCTAGTCTTTGTATGACCAAGTCTAAGCCTTGCTGGAGCCATGCTATGAGCGGTCGTACGCGAAACCCGCCAACAAACTTTGTTTTTGAGACGACCGGTATCTTAAAGCTAAGATCCGCTACGCTTGTGCTTCAGTTGCACAGATTAAAGCTAAGCTAAGCCTATGCATCAATTAAAAGCCAAGTAATTTAAGCAAAACGCCTAGTACGCTTCTACCTCCCAGCGCATGTGCGCCTGCGTCATCTACTGGAGAGTATACATGACAAAAACTATCCTGTAAATGTATTCCAATTCACTTTTCTATTGTTTTCTTTGTAAAACGACTTCTTTTTATGTTTTACCAACTAAGCGGGCCATTACGCCAGGGAAAGGGGATGGGCCCGGGGGGGCGGGGGTACTGTCATTGGGGCGCGCCATAGGAATCCCGGAGTTCGCGCGTTGTGCCCGGGGGCTCCCGTCCGGAGGATATCTCGATAGGGGATGAATTTTAAGGTATGTATGATACGTCATTAGATGCGTAATGGCCTGGAGATGACTGCACGCATATCAGATTTAACAAAATCACCTATTTTCGACATTAAATTTAAGTTTTTGTGAAAACCTCTTTGTTAGGAACAATTAACGTAGACCGGAAGTTGGGATTCGACTATATAAAGGGGCTGAACAGGTAGTTTTTCATTTTTTGTCATCTGAATTCAGGAAAATTATGCAAAGTGAAGGATAAAACTGGGTCAGACGGGGCCAGGGTTGAAAAGTCGCGAAGCGGCTTTTCAACCCTGGTTTTTTAGATAAAAAAGTCTGGAAGTCGCACCCAACTCAGGAAGGTGCTGAATGAAAGACTTCTTGCGGAAAAGGTATCGTTCATTCTAGGCTTTCTAAGTTCAAATTTAGGTTTGGTATCCTGTTCTGATGCGCCAGTCACGTCGACGCGATTGAAGCCGCCGGCCCAACGCTGCTCTATGCTTTTCACCACTAGCCTTTTTATCAACTTATTTTACTAAAGAGTTTTTTACCGTCTCGAAGGTGCCGCCGACATCATGGGCAACTAGTGCGACGAATTTTTAACGTGGCCGTCAATACTCAAGTCAACTGCTGTTAGCTGCCGGACAATACTGGTCAGTGTTTCTTGCTTAGTTATCGGCAATACATGTAAGTAGTCCGGTGGTCCGCTTTCCGGGTCAATAAGCTTTAAATTATTATTTTAATTAATACCAGGGTTGAAAAACCGCTTCGCGGCTTTTCAACCCTGGCCCCGTCCAGGACCTGTGAAAGTCCTTAATTTGCATGTTTCTTCCTGAATTCTACCAAGAAAAAAAAAGTGAAAAACGGCTCCTCTGTCCCTTTATATAGGCTCTTCCTACTTCCGGCGTATGCTAATTTCCCCTAACAAACAGGGTGTTACAAAAACCTATTTTTAATAGCGAAAACCGCAATTTTTCAAAATTTTTATGTGTGTGCAGTCGATTCCGGACCATTCCAAACCTATTGTCGTTTCTTCCCTATCCAAAAAACCCTTCCCCGAGGCTGTAGGTGCGGAACATCCTAACGGAAGTGCATGCAAATATACACACACACACACACACAAACACTATTTTTTTATATATAGTAGGATTTTAATATTATTTGGAGCCTTATCCACCAATAGCTCGTTCTCCCCCGTACCTTTCAGGCTTTTGTTTTATTATATTTATTTGGTCCTGGGGTTACACTGTTTGTTATTCAGTAATTTTGGTAGTTCACTTAAAGGAGAAAATACTTTATGTAACAGATATTCGGATGCTAGTTCATTGTAGTGTATTTTCAGTCAGCGAGTTGAATCAAAAGTATATTCTAGTATGAAGGGCAGGTGGAATTGATAGGAAGAGAAGACCTACAAACGGGCAGGAAAAGCCTCAAAAAGATTGTGATAACGATGATTTTCCAAATAAAACCTGTCAACGTTTTATACGTCGCAACCCTACGTTAAAATACTAATTAAGGTATATTATAATAATAAAAAGTTTAATTTTAAATGTTTTAATACATAAAGTTAATTTAAAGCTAATTGACCCGAAAAGCGGGCTGCCGGACTGCTAATATGAATTGCCTAGTTGTCACCGGCACAAGGTTCCGATCTATTTTTCCTTATGAAAACGCTCATGGCCTGGGTGGCGTTGCTTTCAATATGGGTTCAATAGAGGTTTTCATAGGGAAAATAGGTCTTAACCGGTGCCGGTGACACCTCAAGTCTTGGCTTTCTATGTTTTTTTTAGCAGACAGGTGTTTTCCGGAAGACATGCTGCGAGACGCGAGCTGCTTCCTGCTGCCGACTATACCCGCGCACCGGAAAATGAAGACGGACCACGAAAAGAAAAAGGAAAAGGTATTGATCTTCATCTTTTCCTCAATTTTTGTTAGATTTTGCTTGACGGCATGGGCAAATACTTGTGAAAAACAAGTTGCACGACAGGCGCCAGGTTGAACTGCAAAGCGGAGATCCTATCTTTTGGTTGGTTTTTTTTTACTAAAGTTAATTAACTTTCCAAATTAGAGCGCTCCATTTCCCCCAACTGTGCCTTTGCTCGACCAACATACCCGCTGAATCTGCAGTGCCATTTGTAAGTAGAGTTTAATCTACCTATATCTATTCTTTAGGGTTATGTTCGGAGTCTGTATGCAGTCGGGCTCGATGTGTGCTATTCGACGACGCGCACCATCGCCGCCGATGTCCAAGGACCAAGAAAATGTAAAAAGCAAACTTTAAGTTATTACCTGTCATTTGTGAACAACCCGTTGTTTTTCTTATATTTGTATAATTTGTTCATCCATACTCTTCATTTTTCTGTGTCCACTGTTATCTTATCGCGTATTGTGATTTCATTCAAGTTCCTGGTCGATCATTGTATGATAAACTATTAGTAGAGCAAGGTGTATCTAATTTCGATTAAATGCACCCGAATACAAGGAAAAGTAAGGATATATTAATAGTAAAGCCGTTCATGCGCGGTTCCTTGCGTGCACGGCGCGCGGTCCCGCCGTGCGCGGTGCGCGCTCCCGCCGCGCACGGCCCGTCCGGGGCCGTGCCAGCCGCGGTCAATGCGCGCGCGCACCGCGGGCAACGCGCGAACGGGCCGGTACCGGCCCGTTCGCGCAATGGCGACGGCGCGCGCGCGCAATGAACCGCGGCGCTGCGTCCCGTGTAAGCGTAAGCATGAGAACCGGAAAGCAAAATAAAATTTGGCGAAAACAAGAGCGTACACCTAATTTTTGGTTAAAATTCAGCACAGGACACTCGCACCCCTCCTCACCAACTCAAAGTTTCAATATAACCTTAAGTAGTACGATTTCAACAATTTTTCACCTTCCTAAGATGTACGATTTTGCTCAATTTGCGAGATAACTTACTGAAAAACCCATGCGATCTCTTTTGACAGAGTTTACCAGCAATTTCGCGGGATAATAACCTTTTCAGAGTGTTATTATTATATGTCAACAGGTTCCCTACAAATTAAAAATATTTTTACGTTTTTCACGGGACAGTAGACCGGTTTTTCTGCAACTTTTGAGCTTTTCGGCCAATCAACCTTTGCCCGTTCCGCCCGTAAGCGACGCGCCGATACAAGCAACGCCAGCGTCCCGTGGAGACGACCGAGTCCTGCTCTCCAACCCCCATTTTTGCGTCAAAATTTTTCGATTATGATGGTTTACAAAGTTATATTGCACATTTTTGCTTTAATTTTGCTTTGGAGTTGATCCTGATCACGTGAGGTACCTTAACACTATCTCGTCTTGACTCTGTTAGTTTTTTGACGCTGGAAAGCCGGTTTTTCGACGAAAAAGATATGAATTAGTTCTTCCGCCGTCTAGTTTCTACGAATTCACATTTTCCATCTTCTGGCTTTCCAATTCTCGCTTTTCAGACCTATAGTTTATTTTCAGAAATCGACTTCGGGAATCGACAGCCATGAAGGTAGAAACCTGCTGCTATTCCGGCTACAAGATTTACCCCGGCCATGGAAAGAGGTCCGTGAAGGTCGACGGAAAGGTAATTTCCCAATGTTTATTCTTTTCATCGTTGTTTAGGTCCAAATTTTCCTGAACGGCAAGTCCCAACGAGGAACGGCCCTCAAGCGCAACCCCCGTGAGGTCACATGGACCGTCCTTTACCGAAGGAAGAACAGGAAGGTATGAAATACGAGTTTTTACAAACATTTTCCTCTTCAGGGAGCCCACGGTGAGGAGAGCCAACAAAAGAAGAAGACCAAGAAGACGGTCACCACGATCACCCGCGGTATCGGAAGTTTGACACTGGACGCCCTGCTCGCCAAGCGCAATCAGAAGCCCGAGTTCAGGAAGGCTCAGCGAGAACAAGCCGTCAAGGAGGCCAAGGACGCCGCCGCCAAGAAGAAGGCCGCAAACAAGGTATCGTTTTGTGGTTGATGAAGATACTCTTTCAATTCTGCCGTTGCGCCGTTGGAGTTGTCAAAAATTAGTAGCACAAACAACTTGCTGCTTTTTTCGGCTTACCTTTGTCGCGCAGCTAGCGCAGTTTGTTTGCGTCACTGATAGTATGTGCACGCTCTAATTTTTCGTTTTCCAGGAAAAGAAGGCTGCGCAACCCAAGACCGCTCAACAGAAGGCCCCCAAGGCCGTCAAGACCCAGCAGCCCCGCGTCGGAGGCAAGCGATAATTTCCTTTTCCAACTTGTTATTTGTTCAATAAACGATTGTTTTGCCTTTTTGCTGTAATAAACATTTCAAGTTGTTCGTTGCGCAAGGTAGTCACTTGAGAACAGCTTGGTTGTGCGATGTAACGGCCAATCAGTTTTGTTGAAACTTTATCGGGCTATGCAGCAAGCTTTAGGGTTGGTTTCGGATGTTTAGAACATCAACTGATAGCAATGGTTTGCTTCATGAGTCTTCGGAATAATTCTAGCGTGAAAGTCACAAACTTTGGAGGGGATTGTATGCTGTCGCGGGACCTTTCTATGTTATGTTCTTGGCAGCCCGGGAACAACCAAAAATCAGCGGTCCTAACAACAGCGAAGCAGTATGCGAGTCCTTTGCGATCTTCCAATGCTTGCTGCATCGGTCGTAAAGTCGGCGGCTCGCCGCTTAGACATGCTTCAGAAGTGAAACCTTCTGGGGCCAGCTATAACCGAATCGGGTTTCACTTTGTAAATTGATAAAATCGCTCGACCGTTGCGTCAACATCATATTTGGGTTTCACACCGTTCAATTCGACTAATTGAGTTAAAACACTAAAACTAGGGGGCATTTGATGTTCCGGAGCATCTTTTTATTTTGAGGATTTTTCCGGCTGAAGCTGGGCTTCAAGCCTAAACTAGCCAAACCAGGCCTGACCTAAACCTAATCTAAGCCAAGCCCAGACTTAAGCCTAAGTCTCAGCTAAGTCTAGGCTAAGCCTAAGCTCAGGCTGGCTGCGCTTAGGCTAACAAGGAGTGCTTTTCCAGTCATTGGCAAAACCTGACGAGACGAGCGTCAATGTGACGGGCTGAGGAAGCGAGGGTAAACTGTATCCGGTCGTTGCTATGCTGCGTTCTTGACAGCTACGAAAGAAAACTGCAGTTGTTTTGACAACAGCATCACGAATGTACAAATGTCCTGGGATATGCTAATGGTCGATCAATCGGTCGTAGGGTATGCGGGTCGCCTAGTCGAGGTCTTCCGGTCGCGTAGTTTTTTGGGATCCAATACATGTGATGTAGTTCGGCATAAAATCACCCCAAAAATAAGAAAAACTAGATTGCCTCTTTTTCAAATCAAAAATTTCCAATTTTTTTAATTTTGTGTGTCTGTATGGTCTGTTTTTCTCAAATTATTCATCCCTCCCACGGACGTGAAAGCAATAATTTTCCGATTAAAGTCAGACATCACCTGCCGCTTTTTTTGAGCCCGTTGAACACCAGAAACCACCGGCATGCAAAATAGGTTAGCTTTTGATTGCAGTTCACGAAACGCTCGGCTTTTGAGCATTGTTTTTTACATTAAATTATCATTAATTTGATGGTTTTCCCAGTTTAATTAAATGGACAACATCATATTCGTGCTGGACACGACGCAGCCCGAGATGAGCCCGGAGACGAACCTTCAGATTTACACAATCATGGAATACGCTTCAGGCATGATGTCAAAATACGAGAAATTAATCGCTCTAGCTTTAGTCTTTACAACAATCGTAAATCTATACGCTTTGTATGTTATTTGGTATAAGACGCCGATGCATATGAAGAAGTACGGCCGATCATTGGCGGCGTACCAGGTAAGGTTTTTGATTTGAGAACCAAAAACAAATATGGTGTGACACGCTCGACGGTGAAATGAAACTGGGGATTATCCGGGGTTCTGGACTGTTAGTTTGGGGGAATAACGTTTTATTTTTCGACCTATGCCAACCTGTTGCTGCCTGTGTATAATGTATTTTATATTGTTTTAGTAGTTTTTGTTGGCTAGGAAGTTATAAGACATAAAGTTATATTTTTACCTTTTCTTGGACATTTTTGACCAAGGAGTGGAACATTTTCGAAAATTTATTATTATTTTTGAAAATGGTTTATATCTAAAAAAACTAAGTAGAGTGCCATGAAATGGTTTATATTTTACCAGTGGAAAAAGACCGCTTCGCGGCCATTTTCCACTGGACCCCGTCCAGGAATCATTAATTTGAATACCTCCTTCTTTTAGCCTGAGGCGCAAACTGAGTAATGGCGCCATTCTGTGGCCTGCGGCGCTAGAGCCAGCGTTCCGCTAGAACCTTTGAGCCTGCGGCGCTAGAGCCAGCGTTCCGCTAGAACCTTTGAGCCTGCGGCGCTAGTTACTGGTTTTTCTCCAGGATTGGGCCTGCGGCGCGAGAGCCTGGGTCAAGGGCCCATCCTTGGCTGCGGCGAGAGAGCCTGGAAGGGCCTTTTCTTTGGCCTGCGGCGCTAGAGCGAGGGCCAGGCCTAAACCTCGCACACACTCGCACAGAGCCTAGAAATATGTTTAGTTGCTAAACTACCAAAAAGCAAAAAGTTGGATTTGCCCGGGATCCGAACCCACGATTATAGGCGTGGTAGGCCGGGCGTAAATCCATTACACCACGGGGTAGATGGGAAGGGGCGGCGGGAAAGCCCTCTTCTGTTCCGGGGAAACGGGGCGGGGAGGCACAGAAAAGGCCGACCCAATGCCCCGGGTGGGAAGCCTTCTGGTCACTTGACAAAATTAAGTTTTTGAGTCTGCATCTGCAGAAAATTTGTAAAGATAATAAGATGCGCGTAATCGCCACTATTGAATACATAACTCGTCCAAATTTCAGCCCGAAATTCCAAATGCGAATCGAGTTATGCCCCGAACACCACGGCTCGTCGCCCATTTTGTTAAGGAATTTTACTATTTTGCTTGTAAAAGTGTTAAATGGAGGAATTTCGAAAAACAAAAAAATGCGTGTCTGGCAAATGCATTTCTCCGCCTCCATGCCAAAAATCAGCGCGAGATTCGGTCTGACGGCCGAGAACTCGTCATTACAGAAAACAAACATACTTTTCTCGCTTATAGGATAGGATTAAATATAAATATTAAATATAGAGAAACACTGGCAAAATTGAAGGGTCATAACGCATCCAGGGTTTGAGGAGGCAGCGCGCGTTGCCGTGACGCGAGCCTCACAATTTTATTGAGAATCTAGTGTTTGTTTATCATTGATTCTTCAGTTTGTTTCGCTGTTGATGGATGTCATGCTCTGCTCAGCAACAGTACCGTATCTGATATTCCCCGTGCCAGGCGGATATCCGCTAGGATGGATGTCCCACGTGGGGATCTCGACGCAGCTGCAACTTGTGTGTTAGCCGCAAAATTTAAACCTCTTTACTTCGAGCTCGCAAGCACAAGGCTGGGTGTCCTAAACATTTTGCCGAATTTTCATTCAGCCAAATTTTGTCTCATGGGAGTGAAACTCCTGCGTTTGGTTGTCACTTAACATACTTCCAGGTACTCGTCGGTCTGGTCGGCACCGAAATGGGGGTGGTAATGATCACGCTATTCATGACACGGCAACAGGCCATTATGCCCGATTCACATCCACTAAAATGGTCGTCACGGTAACACCGTTCTTACTATGAAAACATGCGTGTAAATTTGTGAATAATGTATTCCGTGAGTAAAGACTCATTTATTCCAACCATGAAAAAACTGACTACCAGGCGCCAGACAGGCATCCTCTTTCTCAAAATTCCATTTTGGGCCTTATTTTTTAAATATTTGACGTTCAGAACGGGACATGCGCTCTTCATTGCCGGCCACCTGGTGCTATATTTACATATCAGCGGCATGCTTCTTTACATGCTCACCCACGACGACCAATCGGCCGCGAAAAAGATTTATCAGGAGGTGTGAATACGTAACCCGATTTTCTGAAGTCCTCATTTTGGGTAGACCAGACCACGGTCACGTTTGGAAAATTTGAGGAACTGGGCGCGCGATAAATGTGTATATCCGAATCCGGGTTCCGTTACGCATCCCGCGGGCGACGCGCCGTCAATCGGGCGGCCAACTCGATGCCAACAGAAAGCCGCTGTGTCGTCGGTTATGTCTAAAAAATTTCGGCGTCAGAAATACCGACAATCTGAAATTTCGACATTGCAATTTCGACAGTCCGAAACTTCGACATTTTCGAATTTAGAGATTCTTATAACAAACTCTTTCTCCAGGTTGTCCAAACGGTTGGTCATTTTCAGAAATATCCATTCTTTCGCCGTTTCTTTGACATTGAGTCCCTGTACGTCTTTGACCCCGTCATTGGCGGCATCATAATAGTGAACCTAGTCGTTTTGTTCTTCGTCTTTCTCGCCATGATTCTAGGTGGGTTTGCATGTCAGGCTTATGTTTTTCATTTTACGATAGTATTTGGGATTTTTGATTGAGTCCTTACAATTTATCGTGAAAGCCTCTGATCCCCATGATGGATGCGAATTTTAGCTGCCAGCACGACAAGCTTCATCGGGCTCGCCAGTCAAAAACAGTTCATGAGCGCCAAAACCTATAAGTTACAGCAGCAATGGATATACAATTGCGTTATCCAGGTGAGATGGAGTCAGCAGGAGTACCTTCTTTGCGGTAATTATCGCAATCGTGCGCAACAAATTATTGTTGGCAAGACTTATAGCAACACGTTGGAAATCGGTTGTGATACCGTGTTTCCCCTGATGCATCCCCGTTAAATATCATTGCTTTTGGCATTTAAGAAAATAGCATTTTGAATTTATCAAATGCAAAAATGTTTGTTTAGACTTTCTGTCCTAAGCCTTGAGTCATTATAACAGGCTAAACTGCCAAAACTGCTTAAATTACTCAAAAGATTTTCGTTATCCGGTTCCTCGTCTGCTTTACAGCTTTGTCTGTGGCAAGTAGCGGCACCTATATTTTTTTACATTTCATGGACATACAGTAGGGGTCAAAAAGATGTCCCCTCGGGAAAACCTTTGGTGCTCTTAAACCACAGGCCCCAATTTTATGAAACTTTGCCACTAGGTCAATTTTGATGCGGAGAATCCGATGGTAAACTTGAAATCGGCTGAAAATTTGATTTTAGTGATCAAACTTTAATTTTTTAAAAATCAGTAAAATGAACTTTTCCTGAGGGATTTTCGGGTTTCAAAAATGTGTCCATCGTGTTCGCAAGGGATGAAAACCTATCTCAAACATGTTTCAAAACATTTATCTCTTTGAGGTTCGCTACCATGAGGCCGAGGTTGTCGCCGCGGGGCGCTTTCCTGGCCCACGTAAGCTTTTCCAAAGGATTTTGCCCCGCGCGACAGCAACTTTCCGCCGTCAGTATGGTCTGGCCCTGGCAGAAAAAGTGTCGTAAAATAACGGAATAGTGGTTTTTGACCCTTGCGAAAACGATGGACACATTTTTGAAACCCGAAAATCCCCCATGAAAAAGTTGATTTTTACAGATTTTTTTGAAATCGAAGTTTGACCATTAAAATCAAATTTTCAATAGATTTCAATGTTGCCATCGGATTCTGCGCAGCCGGATCGACATAGACACGACGTTTCATAAAATTTGGGTCTGTAGTTTACGCACACCAAGCGATCTCCCGAGGGGACACCTTTTTTTGACCGCTACTGTACCAAATGAAATGAAAAATTTTTTTGGCAAAATAACTAATTCTTTGAGGTGACGTTGCCGCTGACTACTCTAGGTTTTCCAATCGTTTTCGATGGTTGGATTTACTATGCCGACGCTGTCGCTTTCGTGGGTAAGCCTTGGCCAAAACGGGCAATTAGTCTCTCCAATTGTTGATACTAAAATCTCATAGTACCGAGGAGGCAAGCCTGAAAAGTCGCGATGCGGTGAATAAAAAAAAGATCAAGATAAAAAAATCAAGTAGTAAAATTAGCATTTTTGAGATCACACAAAAACTATTGTAACGAACCCACTGAGAGTCTCTGTTCATATTCTAAATCCAGGTAATCACCTCTGTTCAGAATTTCAGCGCGATCGAATTTGAATCAGCAAATGGCAGCCAGAACTTTTTATCGGGGCACCTTGATTTGTAGGAACCTTATTTATCACCATTACAGGGTTCTTGCCGATAATCATCGGCATCGCGGGGTTGCATGGATTCTGTACTACCCTGGTGACAATGTTCATCTACAGACCTTACTCGGAATATATCAAGAAATCGGCGATGGGCGTCCTCGAGTTCTTTGCCCCTGGTAAGCTGACAAGGAGTGCTTTTTTTGAGTCATCGGCAAAACCTTACGAGACCTAGCTCATTCGTTAGAGAATTCGATTCTGAACAAAACTCCGTTGTTCTTTTTTGCAGAATGGCTATCCCTGATTTTATAAAATTAAAATACTGGTGGCCGTCTCTTACCATGAGTGCCTGTCGAGCAAAAAGAGAGGCTTTTGGGCGCAGTTTTAAATTTTTATCAAATCAGTGATAGCCATTCTGCACAAAAGGACAACGGAGTCTTGCTCAGAATTCAATTCTCTATCTAATGAGCTAGGTCTTGCAATGTTTTGCCGATGACTCAAAAAAAGCACTCCTTGAGTGTGAGATTGCCGGGCCATGGCAGCTGCAATTCGTGTTTTTGGCTTCCGGTTTTTTCGTTGTTATCCGACTGCCCAACTCAGAAAAAGTTTTCAGAAATTCCAATGATCGGAAAGACTTGAGCGCAGCTGCTGACCTTTTTTAAAAAAACCAACTTCTCCTCAATATGTGCTTGTAGTTTGATTGCCGATTTATAGATCGTAATGGTCTTCAGCCACGGACTCGTGTCGCCATAACCCTCAATCGACTATCTACGCTCGCCCCACAAACTTTGAATTACGCGGCGGCGGCACGTAAATAAACTTTTTTTGCGGCTTGTAGGTAGAAGGGAATTTTTGACATTAGCTTTCTAACTCCTTCGGGCGTTTTTTGTCTTGTTCGCAAAGGGCAAATTTTTTGAAAAAAGTCTTTTCGCGGACATAGCCTTCTAGAAAATTATTTTCAAAAGTGACGTTTGCAAAAAAGTTCAAAAAGGGCATCGAAATCGTCGCAGGACCAAAATAGCTGGTAAGGTGCCTAAACCGACCCCGAGATTGATTATTTTTCAGACGGCAACTGTGGACGCTCGGCGTCGTCGCCTAACCGATCTACTTCTGCCGCTCTAAAACGACCGTTTACTGCAACCACCAGCAACACCATTAATTCACCATTGAATCGAAGATAACGTGTAATAATTATTCCTGTCGGAAAACTTAGCATAAAGAACTTAGACGCTAGACTGGACTAGACATTAGATACTAGAAAAACACTAGCATAGACACATAAAGCATAACACGCCCATAAAAACTGAAAACAATTTCTCCGGTGGGTGGAAGTGTTTACTTAACAAAGAGACGGCACGAAATTTTATAAAAATCTAATAAATACCGATTTCCGATAGCTTTTGCGGAATCCTTTATCAAAAAATGTTTGCAGGGATGTTCTTTTCAGCAAAATCCACGAGTGCAGCAGGTGCACTGGCCTTGGCCAAATCCGGGCTGGTAGACGGAGGAAATCTGAATATCATAATTGACTTACACCATTCCATGGAATAGTTCAAAAATTGCTTAGGTAGAGCAAAACCTTTGTTGAGGAATTCAAGCTTGAAAACTGTCCCTACCGTAGACCAAAAGTTGCTATGCAGGTTGGCACGGCAGCAGCTGGTGCAGTCCTGCAATGGAAATATGTAATTTCTGAGGGGCCTAGTCTTTGAAATTTAGCATTTTGTTGCTGAAAAACGTTAGAAAAGAGCATCGATTCTCTCAACCTACAAAAAGCCCAAATCCACTCGTCACGCAGGGGTTAGAGCTAGGGAATCGGCTGAAGAAGACGGTAATGGCCGAGCAACCTGAATAAAGGTGTAGTTATTTAATCTGAAAATTCTCCTACTCTGGGCGCAACCCGGAAACGATGGGATCGGGCGAGTAGGTGGGAAAGGCTGAATTTTTAGGACACAGTAAAAAATTTAATAAAGAAAAATTTCTTACGCTGGGGAATGGAGGGCCGGGTCGGGGCGGGAAGCCCTGAGAAATGGTAATTTCAAGGTTTTATAAAAATTGGCTTACTCCTCCTGGGAACGGGCGACCTGGGCCGGGGAATCCCTGAAACAAAACGGTTTTTAAAGGGGCTAGGAAGCGCTAAATCGACTCTTCAGGTTCGACCGGGTCTCCACAACTACACGGCACTCCAAAATACGTTAAACGAAATAGACCATCAAATCGTTTTTACGCGTTATTGATAGCTTTAAAGTTTGAAAGTAGCAGTCGATACCTAGTCGAAGACGGGGGTCGATTCTAGCGTTTCTAAGCTACTTTAAACCTATTCCAAGTTTTGAAAGCAGCAAATATCAAGGACGACATACTCCGTGACCACCAGGGAAGCCGTCTCCTCTTCCAGGGAAACCACCACCGCCTCCAGGACGACCGCCGCCACCACCGCCCGGGAAGCCGCCTCCATTACCGTTTCCGCCATCCGGACGTCCTCCTCCGCCTCCACCTGGGAAGCCACCACCGCTTCCACCACCTCCACCACTGCTTCCACCGCCTGGGAAACCCCCTCCTCCTCCATTGCCACCGCCGCCTGAGCCGCCTCCGCCTGAGCTGCCTCCACCACCACCCCCTGAGCCGCCTCCACCTCCTCCGCTCGGGAAGCCCCCTCCACCACCGCTTCCGCCACCTCCGCCACCACCAGGCTATATGCGAAACCTTCCGAAGTTGTTAAAAAACCCACCTGAGGACGTGGACCATCCGGGAAGGGCTAAAATTTACTTATTTACTATAACTTCTGTGGCCCCGAAAATCATCACTCCGAAAGTTATTACCCCCCAAAAGGGGTTTACCCAGAAAGGTTATTACCCCCAAAATTCTAGTGTTTCTTCGGACAATGCTATTTTTGCTTATTATTTCCGAAACAAACAATCTTACTATACGAACTTTTGATGTAATGGTTTTCATTAAAACCTTTGCTCATTTACCCAAGTTCCAAAATTCTACCTGCGGACCATTGCCTGGACCATCATTACCAGGTCGAGGGAACTAAAAAAAATCTTCTGTAACCGTTCGAAAATCCAGCAGAACATCCCATACAACAATCAATTCACCAACCCCACCGCCACCACCACGTTGAGCAACTACATAGCCAATGAAGAGAGCGAGAATCAGGGTAGAGCCTCTCATCCCAGCAAGGTTTTTGTGGGATCGGGATCAGAATGAATTTCGGCGCGTTCTGTCGGCCCTGAGCTTATTTTGACGGGCGCCTAGACGGCAAAAATCCGATGTGTCAGGTGCAGAACCAAAAATTGGGATCGTTTTTTCGGGGGTCAGGGAAGAGTGTAGTTTACAATGGCAAGAAACTGCCTGCGCTAATAGCAGGACCTGATTTGGTATGTATTTTGATGTAATTGATTCATGCAATTTTTTGTGATGGGTTTGCTTTTTACAAATTTTATTACATATATTTCATTCAGAAAAGCCCGAAAGCCATGAACATATAAATATAAACCGTCTGAGCGAAGAAAGGTAGAGACGGTATGCTCTGAATCCGTAGCTGCACCATGCCGTTATGCAGCGCGAAGCTCGGGTAATACTACTAGTCGACCAATATGGCCAAACCTCGCAGGCTTTACCTGAAAAAAATTGATTGTTTTTAGAGGATCCAATAATTCTAATACCCAGAGT